GGGCGGGCCGCAGGAGTCCCCCGCGGAAACGCCGTTGGGGGTGGCTCCTGCCGCCCTCTGGCGCAGGTGCTCCAGCAGGCGAGTGCTCACGGCGGGCTCCAGGACGCGGCAGGCGAGTAGCACGCGTGCCAGGCGCGCCAGGCAGGCTCGGTAGCCCTCTCGGTAGCTATCGCAGGGCGCTGCGGGACGGAGAGTGGCATGAAGTGCGGGGTGATGTGCAGGGCGCGGAGCCAGGAGGCGGTAGGGTGGGGCCGCGGCACTCACTTGACGCTGCCATCGGGCAGGAGGACGCAGGCAGCTCCTGCAGGAAGCGCACGGTCATTTCCAGGATGTCCGCCTTCTCCAGCTTTGAGTAGCAAGAGCTCTGCGCCCGGCCAGGCAGGAGAGGGACAGAGAGACGGACAGACAAGACAGACCTCTGGCAGGCCGCCGTGAGCACCGCGCTCTTGCCGGGAGCTGAGTGCTGGGCGCGTGGTGGCCCGGGAGAGGTCGGCTCCTCCGAGCCTGTCCCACCCGGGCTCAGACTTTGGCGCCGCTTAGAGTCCCCTCGTTGGCTCCTCGCTCACGGGCATCTCGGCCCGCCATGTCTTTTTGCTCGGAGCCCCAGGATGCCCCCACCCCCGCCCAGTGCGCCCAGCACTCACCTCCCTGCCCAGAAGAGGCAGGATGAGCCCCTTGAGCTGGCTCAGGCTCGCGTTGATGCGCGCGCGGCGGCGCTTCTCCAGCAGCGGCTTCAGTCTCTGCAGGAGGGCGCGAGGGCCCAGGTTACTCGGGTCGAAGTCCAGGCCCCTGCCCCGGCCTCTTTGCCCCCCATTACCAGTCCTCGGCTCCTACCTTGCGCAGCTCTGCCGGGTCCCTTGCCCTCCGAGGCAGCCCCATGCTCGGCGGGAAAGTGGCAGCGCTGCAGGGCCCGCCTGTGAGAGATCTGTGCCCCGCCGGACACCGAGCAGAGACCCAGGCCGGGAGGGTAGTCTCTTGCGGGGCCCGAGCGGTCGCCAGTGGTGTGCGTGCCACGCCCGCGGCCAGGCTTTAAGGAAGCAGCGGCGACCGCCCCGCCCCGTCCCGTCCCGCCCCGTGGAGTCAAGCCGCCTATGGGTCCCACCTCCCGCCTTTGTCCCTGTGCGGGATGGAGGTGGGAGGGGGAATGGCGGAGCCCCTGGGATCCCGGTCAGGCCGTCCTTCCCATCTGCAGCAGGGCCGCGGACCCAGGGTCCCCCCTACTTGAGCACTTGCAAGGGTGTGTGTAGGCGCCATCAAAACCATTGCTGCCCTGACCCCGCGTGCAGGAGGGGCGCGAGTGGGGCCACGTCTTGCCTCGCTCAGGCAGCAGTCCCTCCTGGTCCAATGCCGCCCTTCTTCCCTTATTCGAGATCAGTACCTCCTCTAAGCCCCGACCTAGGACTGGGCGGGGGAACCCAGCAGCGGCAGGACCCCCAAGGTCCAGGCCTCAGGGAAGTGTCATTCCGCTTTCTAGTAGGGACTCACCCCACCAGTTTTTCTGCGGGGCTGAAGGGGAAACAGAGGCCCAGAAAGAGGTCTCAACTTGCTACGGCCTAACCGCTGGAAACTGTCCAGGCAAGACTAGGGACCCCCGATCGCTCCATAGAATGCTCCGGACCTCGCCGAGTTAGGTTCCTCGGTCCTCGGTTTTGAATGGGGAAACTGAGGTTCATGGAAGAGGAGGCAACCCAGGAGCCCTCGGAGCTCATTTGCATTTCACTGGCTCCATCTCCGGTTCCCACTCGCCAGGCAGTCGGAGCCCACGTGACAGGCGGGGAGGGGCGGTCCTGGGTGCCGGTTCTTCGCTGCCCTCCTCCGGCCCCAGCGGCCCTCCGGGCCCGCCTCCGCGCCGCGTGGCCGTTGCTGCAGCAAACTGGCTGGGCGTCCCCCGTCCATCTGCTCGGGGCTGCCCTCCCTCAACCGGCTGGCCAAGCAACGGCCAGCCCGATGGCTCGCAGGGCGGACTGCCGGGCGGACCCACGGACCGATGACAGGGTGCACCCACCTAGCCCGGCCTGGAGGAGGGACCACTGGGCGGAGCCAGTCGGCGCTGTCCTGGGTGCTGGATGGGGCCCCGCCCCACGCCGCACAAACCCCATCTCAGCTCCCCACCCTCGCCGCTCGCCTTAAGTTCCCCGGCGGCGTGCTCCCCAAGCAGGGCCTGAGAAGAGCAGCATGCCTGTCAGGAAGGGGCTCGGAGCAGCCCGGCAAAGTGGGGCACTCACCACCGGTATCTGGCCACCATTTATGGAGAACGCGCTAGATACCAAGCATATTTTGGTCCTCACCTTGGTCCTCACCTTCATTAACCCCTACAACAATCCTAACCATGAGAATAAGTCATTCAACACATTTGGTGGAGCAGGGATGCCTGAGCCACTGTTTCCTCAATTCATTGAGCTCAGAGTACCTATGGACCAGCCCTCTCCAAGGTAATTAATTATTCTTTAGGGGCTGCAAAAAAGGACTTCGTGGATCACTCACTGATATTCCACATGTCCCCCCACTGCTACCCCTGGCCACACACACTGGCTCCTCCAGCTCTGTGCCCACAGCCCACCTGTACCAATGTCTGCATCCTTGCTGAGAGACCCTGACATTAGCTTCTGAGGGAAGCATCTAGGGAGGAAGCTCCTTCCTAGAACACCCTCCCCCACCCATGCCTGTGGGCCACCGTTTGAAGACTGGTGGGCAAGGGAGCAAATTCCATTTTCAGTGCCAGTTACCCCAGATTTTAAATATCTTCTCCATTCTCCCATTGTTGTTCCCTTCAACCAAAGGATTCTAGGGGGGTTGCTGGTAACCTGGAGGAAGGAGTCATTTATAACCAAGGGAAATTAGCTAAGGCAACTGAGTGGACAGGGTGGGGGGGTGTAGGCTTCAGAGAAGCTGGGGCTACTCAGGGTACGGTGGGAACACACCCCACCTGGGTCCCTGCCCTTGAGTGGGGGGGAGGTCTGAACAGGTGCTTTCGACACAACTGAGATGGGCAGATGGCCTGATTCCAGCAGAGGGATGAGAGGAAGCCTTAGGGGGAGGGAGTCCCTAAGCTGACATCTGGAGAGTGGGAGATATTGGGGTGCCCTGGGCAGAGGGAACTTCAGGTGCAGAGGGAAGAAGAACAATGTCAGCCCCTGTGAGCATCAGCCCCTGGGCTTTGCCCCTTTTTATTTGTGTCACCTCAGGCAAGATACATTAAAAAACAAAACCAAACAACAAACAACAACAAAAGAACACTTCCCTGTATCTCAGTTTCCCCAGCTGTAAAATGGGAATAGTGTTTTACCTCTCCCATAGCATCCCTGTGGGATTGAATATGCAGGTGGAGCTTGGCATAATGCCTGGTAAGCAGTAGGGCTTCCAACCTCCTGCTTGTGTGGGTTCTCTCCGGCTGCTGGGCAGGACTCGGTGGACCCAACCCAGCCCAGAAAGGACAGGGAAGGCCTGGATCTCAGCCTGAGTTTGAGTGGCAGCCTGAAAGGAGTCCGAAAAGATAGTCAGCAAAGTTGGGTACTCACATGTGACTATTAGGGAGATGTCCAGATTGGCAGTGAGTGGGGCTCAGGGATGCCTCTTCTGCCTTGCCCAAGGCCATAGCAGCAGTTCATCATCCTGATTGGGCCCCCAAAATGACAAAACCATGTGACAGAGGACGGTGTCCAGGACCAGGTACAGCCGCCTCAGGAGTGAAGGACATGACTTGCAGGGATTTTTTTCATGGAGGAGGCACAGGCGAGGGGCCTTCAAGATAAGCCATTTTAGCTTTCTGTCCTCATAAAAGAGAAAGCACCCTCTGTTCCCACCCAGCAGAAAACATGCACAAACCCAAGGTATACACGAAGGGAACGGGCCCCAGCCCCAAGTTAGTGGTTAGGATGGTGTGATCCTGAAAGTCACAAACCCCAGTCAGGAGAAGGCTGGCCTGAAGTGTTGGGCAGGCTGTAGCCCCCGCTGCTGGCCCTAAAATAAACGTGCACCATAGCCAAAGGTCTGTTTGATGCTTTCAAAGCAGCACTGCTGCCAGCCCCTCCACATCCTCTCTTCCTCAGGAGCAGGGATGCCTCAGACTTTCATGCACAGCTCGGTCTCTCCATTCTTGCCAATGAATGTCAAGGTGATGGTGGCAAAATGCCCTTCTGGCCAGGATTTAAACCTCCATTTCATCATAATATGTTCTCAGGGACCAGATCAGTGAATTCCCGAGAGACGTTGCCATCTACCAAGTGAAACCTGCCACCTTTGTCTGCTTCTGACATTGCAGGAGCCTGGGTAAAGGCCTGCACAAGCTCTTGGGTGGTAAGAACTCTATAGAACTTCTCTGGTGATGTCAGGAAGGTTTCTCTAAGGGTGACCCTACAAGTGGGAATTTCAACACCATCGGGTCTGGCCTCACAAGCCTCAGGGTACACCTGCTGCTGGGTCGGTTAGGGGAGGGCCCCTCCAGCAGGCCCCAAGAGCCAGCCCAAGTGCAGCTACATATCTCATGAGCGAGCAAGGCGAGTCTGACCCAGTGATAGTGACGACCTGGCCACTCATTCCCTTTTAAAAAGGTGCCATGGAGCACAGGATGCCATTGCACATGGTGCCATCAGGTGGTGGTCCCAGGGAATTATATCTGTGGTAGCCCCAGAGTCCCAGGCTTGGACTCCCGCTGTTCCTGGAAGCACTTCCCTCTACCACATTTCCAGCTCCATCCTGCGCCTGCCCGCTAGGTGCTGGGTAAAGCAGCCCAGGGCAGAGCCCTCACAGGGCTCCAGCAGGGAGGTGGGGGGGTGACGGGGAAAGAGAGGACACAGGGTGTTTCAAGATTGCAGGATGTGCTGACTATTCTCCCACAGCTCCACAGCCCCCATCTTCTAGCCTCTTCCTCCTGTCCAGTGGGCTGTGCCTCCCTCCAGCTCCCACGAAGGGCTTCTGGCCAAGCAGGCAGTGTGGTTTGGTGCACGTGTGTTCTCCTGGCCGGCTGCCCTCCCAGGGCCCTCCTGCACCCTCAGGGAGGGGTCCTGCCCCTGCTTTCATGGTGACTGCTCTGGGATCTCTCCATTGCCCCCCAGCCTTTGCATGGCTTCCCCGTCTCTCGATTTGGCAGCCCCAGGCTCTCAAGCTCACAGCTGATTCTCTCACCCCAGACAGCAGCTCTGGGTGCTCTCTGAGCCCAGGGTCTCTAGAACCAGAAACCAGTGTGTACCAGGCACCCGTGTCCTTTCCCCTTCTCTCCCTCTCTCCCACAGGGAGGCTCTAAGGGCAGTTCTTGGAGTCTGGAGGGACCCAGGAGGACTGAGGGTCCAGCAACCGTCCCACCAGCCAGTGCATAGACCCAGAGCCCCTCAGGGACTTGTTAGACCTGTTCCTGGTGTACCACCTTTGCCCTGGAAGTCTCCCGTGCCTGGAAACGCCTTCATCCACGCCTTTGAATAAAGCCCAGCCCACAGCACCTCCTCGGGTGGACGGCTCCCTGACTACCCACGTAGCAGGTACAACTCACTCCCTGTCTCCCCGTTTTCCTGTTCTGATCACACTTGTCACTCTCCGGAATTGTAATTATTTGCTGGCTTGTGTCCCCAAAGCCTGAAACTGACACTGAGTTGATGAATGAATTAATCGAGGGGCTCGGCTCGCCAGCGCCCGGATGGCTCTCGAATTCGAACCCAGTCTGGCCACTCTGCATGGGCTCCATTTTGACGGGAGGCAGATTAGGAGAGAAGTCCTTGGGCGCACGGCCTCTGTCGCCCGAGCCCGAGTCCGGCCCTGAGCGCGGAGGGGGCGGGGCGGAGGCGGAGA